ACCAGAAGTTACTTTCTTCCTCGGTCCTTCTGTAACCTTCCTGCATTGTTCCTGAATCGCTCACTAAAATGTTTCAACTTTCTGAGTTAAAAAAAAAAGATTTTCAAACCGAAAATTTTTAATCTCACCCGAAGAATATAAGCTAGATTTTTTTGTAAAAATTTTTCAAAAAAAAGTTTCAATAAAAAAAAATTGAAATCTCGGACAATTTTCGACAAATTTCGAAACTTAACTAAAGACATTTTCTTGCGACTTTCTAACCCTAGAAGTTACTTTTGGTCTCATTTTTTCGATAACCTTACTCCATTGTTTTAGAATCGCTCAGTGAACTTTTTAATATTTTGGATAAAAAAAGTTGTTTATCAAACGGAGAACTTTTATTTTTATTCGAAGGTCAGAAACAGACGATGTTTTTAGAATCAGCACGAAGAAATCCATAATCCAGAATTTCTTTGGGACTTTTTGTCAATTTTTTTAAAAACAAAATATTTCAATACAAAAATTTGGTCAATTTTCCATAATTTTAGAAATTTAATCGAAGACATTTTCTTATGGATTTAGAGGTCTCATTTCTTCGACAGCTATCTCCATTGTTTCAGAATCGCTCACTAGAATATCGCAAATTTTTAGACTTGACAAAGACTGATTTTCAAATCGAAAATTTTTAATCCTACGCAGAGAACATAAACAAGTTTTTGGAATCAGCACATCTACATGTCAGAATTTCTGTTGTTCTTTTTTGGCAAATTTAAATTTTTAAAAAACAAAATGTTTCAATACAAAAATACAAACAAAGTCGGCCAATTTTCAATTTTTGTTGTTTTTTGGGAAAGTTTTCATAAATAAAATGTTTTAGTATAAAAATAAAAAAATTCGGCATATTATCCACAGTTTTCGAAATTTAACTGGAGACATTACTTTCGGCCTCATTTTTTCGATAACCTTTCCCCATTGTTTCAAAATCGCTCACTTTGGATTAAAAAAAAATGATTATCAAACCAAAAATTTTTAATCTTATCCGTGAGCAGAAACGCACGATATTTTTAGAATCAGCACAACGAAATCTATAATCCAGAACTTTTTTTGGGTTTCTTCTGTCAAATTTTTCAAAAACAAAGTTTCAGTATTCGGCATTTTTTTAATACCTCTCTCTGTTGTTCCAGGATCGCTTCCAAAAGAATATTGCAATTTTTTGGATTAGAAAAGATTTTCAAATCGAAAATTTTAAATCTTACCCGGTTACGTTTTTAAAATCACCACGACAAAATCTGTAAATCAGAAATTTTTTGTTTTTTTTAGTCAAATTTTTCACAAACAAAACGCATCAATATACAAATATAAAAATTTTGACTTTTTCTTACGGATTTCGAAATTCAGGAGTTACTTTCGACCTCATTTCTTGGCTGGCTCCCTCTATTCTTTCAGAATTGCCCACGAAAACATTAATTTTTTTGGATTTTCAAAAAATTAATTTTCAGACCTAACATTTTTTTTCATCTGTGTTTTTGGAATCAGCACGACGAAATCTATATGCCAGAATTTTTGTGGGAAGTTTTTCAGTGAACAAAATGTTTCAAATTAAAAAATATAAAAAACTCGGCTAATTTTCGACAATTTTCGAAATTTAACCGAAGACATTTTTATACGGACTTTGAAGTTGTTTTTGGCTTCATTTCTACAATAGCTTCCCCCATTTTTCCAGAATCGTTCACTAAATTATTGAAATTTTTTGGATAAAAAAAAGATTTTCAGACTGAATTTTACAAGCAACTAGATTAAATGGAAAATTTTTGAGATATTTTACTAAATTGCTTTTTTATTATTGATTTTAGAATATTGGTTGCCTTTGATTTCTTGTAGTAAAAAAATCAAACTTTCCATTTATGAAAAAATTTGTGTGGCACCATCACATAGATCTTTTAATATGTATAATACCAATTTGCTCAAAGAACCATAAGTTTATTTTTAAGAATAAAAAAACTACTATCAAGTAAAATTGACAGCCTGTATAATAAATTCGACAATTTTCAAAAGTCAACTGAGACATTTTCCTACGGATTTCGAACTTCAGAAGTTACTTTCGGCCTCATTTCTTCGCTAGATCCCTCTATTCTTTTAGCATTGCTAACTAAAATATTAATTTTTTCGGTTTTCAAAAAATTGATTTCCAAACCGAAAATTTGTAATCGTACCCAGAGAGCATAAACACACGATATGGAAAATTTTTCAAAAACAAAATGTTTCGATATCAAAATATAAAAATTTCGGCAAATTTTCGAAAAACATTTTTGAAATATTGTCATTTTTTGGAATAAAAAAAATTGATTTCAAAACCGAAAAATTTTAATCTTAACCGGAAGCCATAAACGCCCTATGGTTTTGAAATCAGCACGACGAAATCTGTGTCAGAATTTGTTGGGTTTTTTTCTGAATATTTTTCAAAAACAAAATCTTCCAGAATAAAAATATAGAAATTTTGAACAATTTTAGACAATTTTCAAAATTTAACTGCAGAGATTTTCTTGAGGATTTCTTACTCCTGAAGCTACTTTCGCCCTAATTTCTTCGATAGGTCCCTCCATTGTTCCAGAGTCGCTGACTAGAATATTGCAATTTTTTGGACTTCAAAAAATTTGTTTTTCAAATCGAAATTTTTTTATCTTTTCCATAAACAAATTTTTGGAATTGTTTTTTTGGCAAATTTTTAAAAAACAAAATGTTTCAATAAGAAATTTAACACTACGTTTTTGGGATCAGCACGACGAATTGTTGTTGTTTTTTGGGAAATTCTTCATAGACATACTTTCGGCCCCATTTTTTCGATAACCTTCCCCCATTGTTGCAAAATCGCTCACTAAAATTTTCAACTTTTTGGAATAAAAAAAAAATTATTATCAAACTGAAAATTTTTAATCTTATCCTTTTAGAACTTTTTTTGGGTTTTTGACAAATTTTTCAAAAACAAAATGTTTCAATATAAACATGAAAATTTCGGCCAATTTTCGGCAACTTTCAAAATTTAACTAGAAACATTTTCTTACGGGTTTCGAACTCCAGAAGTTACATTTGGCCTAATTTTTTTCGATAACTCCCTCCATTATTCCAGAATCGCTTAATAAAATATTGCAATTTTTGTATTTTAAAAAAATTGATTTTCAAATCGAAAATGTTTAATCTTACCCAGAGAATATAAAACGTTTTTGGAGTCAGCACGATGATATCTTAAAGCCAGATTTTTTTTGAATTTCTTCTGTAAAATTTTTCAAAAAAATAAAAATATAAAAATTTCGGTCAATTTTCGAAACTTAACCAAAACATTTTCTTACAAGTTACTTTCGGCATTGTATTGATAGCTCCCTCTGTTGTTCCAAAATCGCTTACTAAAAAATATTGCAATTTTTTAGACTAAAAAAATTTTCAAATCGAAAATTTTAAATCTTACCCGGTTATGCTTTTGGAATCACCACGACAAAATCTATAATTCAGAATTTTTTTGATTTTTTTAGTCAAATTTTTAAATTTTTTGGATTAAAAAAATTGGTAATCAAGTGGGAAATGTTTAATCTTATCCGGAGAGCAGAAACGCACGATGTTTTTAGAATCAGCACGATGAAATCCATAACCCAGAATTTGTTTGTTTTTTTCGTCAAATTTTTCAAAAACAATTGTTTCAATATGAAACTAAAAAGATTTCGGACAATTTTAGACAACTTTCAAAATTTCACTAGAGACATTTTCTAACGGATTTCAAAGACCAGAAATTACTTTCTTCCTCGGTCCTTCTCTAACCTTCCTGCATTGTTCCTGAATAGCTCACTAAAATATTTCAACGTTCTGGGTTAAAAAAAAGATTTTCAAACCGAAAATTTTTAATCTTACCTGAAGAATATAATCTAGATTTTTTTGTCATAATTTTTCAAAAAAAAAGTTTCAATAAAAAAAATATAGAGATCTCGGACAATTTCGACAAATTTCGAAACTTAACTAAAGACATTTTCTTACGAATTTCTAACCCTAGAAGTTACTTTCGGTCTCATTTTTTCGATAACCTTACTCCATTGTTTTAGAATCGCTCAGTGAACTTTTTAATATGTTGGATAAAAAAAAGTTGATTATCAAACGGAGAACTTTTATTTTGATTCGAAGGTCAGAAACAGACGATGTTTTTAGAATCAGCACGAAGAGATCTATAATCCAGAATTTCTTTGGGTCTTTTTGTCAATTTTTTAAAAACAAAATATTTCAATACAAAAATTTTGGTCAATTTTTTATAATTTTAGAAATTTAATCGAAGACATTTTGTTACGGATTTAGAGGTCTCATTTCTTCGACAGCATCTCCATTGTTCCAGAATCGCTCACTAGAAAATCGTAAATTTTTAGACTTGACAAAAACTGATTTCCAAATCGAAAATTTGTAATCGTACCCAGAGAGCATAAACACACTTACTTTGCAGTTTTTTGGAAAACTTTTAGGCTCATTAGACAGCTCAGTTTTGTTCTACACATATTTCAAAACCACCCTGTATAGTAAGATCACGTCATATTGCTGATATTACGAAAATAATAATTTTATTTACTCAAATTCAACACCTAATATTTACGGAACTCATGAAAATTCTTAAATCCGACCGGCGAAATTTGTTAATTGTGTTTGATTTATAGCAGACGTTGTTTTTTCCTTCAGCTTTATTAATCAGTTTACATTTTATGTACATTGTACATTTTTAAGCCTAAGCTTTGTAACGAAGTTTCACAAATTTCCGTTAATAGGTATTAAATTTTTTTTTTTTTTTTTAAAGAAAAATTAAAACATCTAAGATTACGGTCTGGTATTTGTGGCGCCGACCGTCCATAAACCCTTTTAAATCGACTCTCGAGTGTCCCAACCCACAACATTATACCTCCATCATTACAAGAATAGAACCCAGGTAAGTGTCGTTACAAACTTAATCCTCACTAATCCGCCAAATACCTGTTTCTCCTCCAAGTCACCAGACAACTTCCAGCGGTGTCCGTGGTGCGTGTTAGTCGTTTCTGTGAAATTATGTGTAGGTTTTTTATGTACCCGATGTTTCTTGTCAAGGTAGATACGAACGACTTAACGACTGAAAAAATTACGCCACGCTGTATAAATAAAGTGTTTTCGTTTTAGCTCAGTATTTATGGACTATTTGTAGCGGCGCATCCCTCTCCCAATTTACTCGGAAAGGGTAAGTTTGATCTGTTTATCAACGGTAAATTAATTACGGAGCTTTGGTTATTTACTACGCAGCGAGATACTGTAATACCGTAAATGTGGCGCAATTATTTATTTGGTTAAATATTTGATGCTGACTGACTAAAACACGAACAATATTTTCAGGAAACCCCGGACCCAGGCGAAACCTAATATTTCCGGATTCGGCCGAAAACGACGCTTTTGAGTTGTATCCGGAAGCGTCTCCGTGGTGTCCCAATCGCACTTTCTGCGAACACGTGACGAATTATCCGGCGGATTTGTTCCACGAGATTCTAGAAAGCACGAACTACGGCGAAAAGTATTCGCTTTATTTTCGGAAAATCGAGGACGACGGGTTCCAGGCCCGGATTGACGACAAAGATGAGAACTTTTTGTGCCCTTCGACGAAAATGGTGGTGTATCCGCAAGCGGCCTACAATGTAAAACACCAGCTGAAGTTTATCTACAACATGGACAGTTACAAACAAGGGGTGATTATAGAAGTTTGTGTGTAAGTTAGTGCAAAATGAGGGTTGGAATGTTCATAATTGACTAAATTACCGTTTTAGAAAAAAATCCAGGTGTAGACTTTACGAAAACGTCAGAAATTTTAAAACTAAGTGCACTCAGAAGTTTGTCCAGAAGTTGCTACTGACAGCAGACGAAAATGGGAAACCTTACGTCGATCGGTATATTTTCCCAGTGGCGTGCGTTTGCTCCTATAAAACTTTGACCAGTTATTCGAGGTTTTCCGACTTGTATAGGTGAAGCTCCGTTGGACGGAGGAAATGGTGTAAATCGCTGATAGTCGAAAAAGGGTAAGGAATTACGAAACAATATAAGTTAAATCGAAATAAAAAAGAATCTAGATTTTCAGACTTCAAAACTTAACAACAAAAAATGTTATGTATATATTTCTGGATTCAGCTGGAAACTGAATCAAATTCACGAAAATAGAAGACGTTTTCTCGTTATTTGTGGAACAAAATGTGGACAAAAAAACTGATGGTTGTGGCAGACTATAATACTTGAAGGGTAAGTGCATTAAAAAACAAAACAAAAGTAAAATCGGGCTCGTGCGGGATTCGAACCCACGTCCTCCGAGTATGTCATTGTTCAGTTCGGTGCTCTAACCAACTGAGCTAACGAGCCAGTGCTTTTGGGTGTCTTCAGAGCTCGTAATCAATAGTGCAAAGACATCGTTTTCCGTCCTATCAAACACATGTTGCATTTTCAAAATATTACTTATTCTGTCCGGATTTTTATTAGACATGTAATCTTCGAAACTACTAGACCGATCGTTGTCCAATTTTGTGTAGGTGTACTCAACCAAAAAAATGTAAATTTGTTTTTATTTACTAAAATAAGATACTTGTGGTGTATGAATCCGTATTGAATTTTCACTCTAGACACCTAGATTTTTATAAAAAAAAATTTTTCGTTTTTTCAGTTTTCAGATTTCTCCAAATTTTTCAATTTTTCATTTCTATCTGCAATTTTTTTATTTTGAAATTTTTCGATATTGCAACTTTTTATTCAGTTTCAATTATTAATTTTTCGATTTTTCAAATTGTCGTTTCCTTAGTCTTTCAAGTTCTTGTTTTTTATTTTTTCTTCTCGATTTTATCACAATTTTTCGTTTTCTCATTTCCCTTATTTTTTGTTTCTTTCTATTTTATAATTTTTTGTTTATTCAATTTTTCAAATTTTCGTTTCTTGAATTTTTCAAGTTTGATTTTCACTTTTTACATTTTGCAATTGCTCGACTTCCAAATTTTTAAATTTTTCGATTTACAGTTTTTCAATTTTTAATTTTATCCTTTTCCGATTTTTCGTTTCCACAATTTTTCAAGTTACCGATGTTATTGTTCATTTTCCCGAGTTAATATTCGTTTTTCTTTATTTTACAGTTTTTCGTTTATTCAATTTTTCAAATTTTCAGGCTTTGAGTTGTCATTTCGTCGATTTCCTAATTTTGAAATTTATCAATTTGCAGTTTTTGGATTTCCAGTCATTCAATTTTCCGATTCCTTTAATTGTAAATTTTTGGATTTCATAATACAAAATTTGAAATTTGAAATTTGAAACTTCAAACTTGAAACTTGTGAATTTGTGAATTCGTAAATTCGTGAACCTGAAATCTGAAATCGCAAATCTGAAATTTGAAATTTAGAACTTGAAACTAGTGAATTCGTGAATTCGTAAATCTGTAATCTGAAATTTGAAATCTGAAATTTGAAATCTGAAATTTGAAATCTGAAATTTGAAATCTGAAATTTGAAATCTGAAATTTGAAATCTGAAATTTGAAATCTGAAATTTGAAATCTGAAATTTGAAATTTGAAATTTGAAACTTGAAACTAGTGAATTCGTGAATTCGTAAATCTGAAATCTGAAATCTGGAATTTGAAATCTGAAATTTGAAATCTGAAATTTGAAATTTGAAACTTGAAGCTTGAAACTTGTGAATTCGTGAATTTGTAAATCTGAAATTTGAAATGTGAAGCTTGAAGCTTGGAGCTTGAAACTTGAAACTTGTGAATTCGTGAATTCGTGAATCTGAAATTTGAAACTTGAAATTTGTGAATTCGTGAATCTGAAATTTGAAACTTGTGAATTCGTGAATTCGTAAATCTGAAATCTGAAATTTGAAATTTGAAGCTTGAAGCTTAAAGCTTAAAGCTGAAAGCTTGAAACTTGAGACTTTAAATTTGAAACTTGAAACTTGAAGTTTTTGGGTTTGTGAATTTTTGAATTTGTGAAATTGTGAATTTATGAATCTGAAATCTGAAATCTGAAATCTGAAATCTGAAATTTGAAATTGAAATTTCATTTTCTCGATTTTATACCACAATTTTTCGTTTTTTCACTTCCGTTATTTTTTGTTGTTTCTTTAGATTTGACAGTTTTTCGTTCATACAATTTTTCAAATTTTCAGGCTTTGAGTTGTCAATTCGTCGATTTCCTAATTTTGAAATTTATCAATTTGCACTTTTTGGATTTCCAGTCATTCAATTTTCCGATTTCTTTAATTGTAAATATTTCGAGGTCATAATACATATTGAAATTTGAAATTTGGAACTTGAAACTTGAAACGTGTGAATTTGTAAATTCGTGAATCTGAAGTCTAAAATCTGAAATCGGAAATCTGAAATTTGAAATTTGGAACTAGTGAATTCGTGAATTCGTAAATCTGATATCCGAAATCTGAAATTTAAAATCTGAAATTTGAAGTTTGAAATTTGAAATTTGAAACTTGAAACTTGTGAATTCGTGAATTCGTAAATCTGAAATCTGAAATTTGAAGCTTGAAGCTTGGAGCTTGAAACTTGAAACTTGTGTATTCGTCAATTCGTGAATCTGAAATTGGAAACTTGAAACTTGTGAATTCGTGAATTTGTGAATCTGAAATTTGAGACTTGAAACTTGTGAATTCGTGAATTCGTAAATTAGAAATTTGAAACTTGAACCTTGTGAATTCGTGAATTTGTGAATCTGAAATTTGAAACTTGAAACTTGTGAATTCGTGAATTCGTAAATCTGAAATTTGAAAATTGAAGCTTGAAGCTTAAAGCTTGAAACTTGAAACTTGAAATTTGAAGTTTTTGGGTATGTGAATTTGTGAATTTGTGAATTTATGAATCTGAAATATGAAATTTTAAATCCGAAATTTGAAATTTGAAATTGAAATTTCATTTTCTCGATTTTATACAATTTTTCGTTTTTTCACGTCCTTGATTTTTTGTTGTTTCTTTAGATTTTACAGTTTTTCGTTTATTCAATTTTTCAAATTTTCAGGCTTTGAGTTGTCAATTCGTCGATTTCCTAATTTTGAAATTTATCAATTTGCAGTTTTTGGATTTCCAGTCATTCAATTTTCCGATTTTTTTAATTGTAAATATTTCGACTTCATAAGACATATTGAAATTTGAAATTTGAAACTTGAAACGTGTGAATTCGTAAATTCGTGAATCTGAAATCTAAAATCTGAAATCGGAAATCTGAAATTTGAAATTTGGAACTAGTGAATTCGTGAATTCGTAAATCTGATATCCGAAATCTGAAATTTAAAATCTGAAATTTGAAGTTTGAAATTGGAAATTTGAAACTTGAAACTTGTGAATTCGTGAAATCGTAAATCTGAAATCTTAAATTTGAAGCTTGAAGCTTGGAGCTTGAAACTTGAAACTTGTGTATTCGTGAATTCGTGAATCTGAAATTTGAAACTTGAAACTTGTGAATTCGTGAATTCGTAAATCTGAAATCTGAAATTTGAAAATTGAAGCTTGAAGCTTAAAGCTTGAAACTTGAAACTTGTAACTTGAAGTTTATGAATGTGAAATATGAAATCTGAAAGCTGAAATCTGACATTTGAAATTTGAAATTTGACATTTGAAATTGAAATTTAATTTTCTCGATTTTATACCACAATGTTTCGTTTTTTCACTTCCTTTATTTTTTGCTGTTTATTTAGATTTTACAGTTTTTAGTTTCCACAATTTTTTCAAATTTTCAAACTTTGAGTTTCAATTCGTCGATTTCCTAATTTAGAAATTTATCAATTTGCAGTTTTTGGATTTCCAGTCATTCAATTTTCCGATTTCTTTAATTGTAAATATTTCGACTTCATAATACATATTGAAATTTGAAATTTGAAACTTAAAACTTGAAACTTGTGAATTCGTGAATTCGTAAATTCGTGAATCTGAAATCTAAAATCTGAGGGCAGAAATCTGAAATTTGAAATTTGGAACTTGAAGCTAGTGAATTCGTGAATTCGTAAATCTGAAATCTGAAGTTTGAAATTTGAAATTTGAAACTTGAGGCTTGAAACTTGTAAATTCTTGATTTCATAAATCTGAAATCTAAAATTTGAAATTTGAAGCTTGAATCTGAAATTTGAAACTTGAAACTTGTGAATTCGTGAATTCGTGAATCTGAAATTTTAAACTTGAAACTTGTGAATTCGTGAATTCGTGAATCTGAAATTTTAAACTTGAAACTTGTGAATTCGTGAATTCGTAAATCTGAAATGTGAAATCTGAAATCTGAAGCTTGAAACTTGAAATTTAAAACTTGTGAATTCATGAATTCGTGAATTTGAACTTGAAACTTTAAATTTGAAACTTGAAACTTGAAATTTTTGGGTTTGTGAATTTTTCAATTTGTGAATTTATGAATCTGAAATATGAAATCTGAAAGCTGAAATCTATAATTTGAAATTTGAAAATTTCGTCAACAATTGGTCCTAATTCGAATAGATTTTAATTTCAGAGACCGATTCTAGAAAAACGGTTGTAGTTATCGAAGAAATGATGGCGAAAGTGACTTTCGTTTTTTTTTGGATTTATCACTTTTTCGATTTTTAAGTTTCTCTTCGATTTTTCAAATTTTTGTGTCTTCGGTTTTTTAAGTGATTTTCACTTTTTAATTTTTTAAGTGTTCATTTTCACGTCACTTTTTCGTTTTTTCATATTTGGTTTTTCAATTTTACAATTTGGAATTTTTTTGATTCGAAAAATTGAATTAAAAGTCGAAGAATTGAATGAACGATAACTTGAAACACTGAAAAGTTGAAAAATTTCACACCGAAAAAATTAAAATTACAAAATCGTTCTGATTTTGAAAAATTAATAAATTGAAAAATTGCATGTTTTTTGTTATTTTCAATTTTATAATTTTCCGTTTGTTCAATTTTTCAAATTTTTGGTCTTTGATTTTTCAGTTCCTGGATTTTCCAATTCTTAAATTTTTCAATTTTGTAATTTTTGGATTTTGGATTTCCAAAAGCTGAAATATTTAAAAATGAAAACTCGAAGAGTTGCATGTCGTAAAATTGAAGAATGAAAAAAAAAATTTGAAAAAACTTAAACTGAGAAATAAAAAATTATAAAATCGAAATACGGGAAATTGTAAATCGGAGAACTCAAGAAATGAAGGATTTGAAGAATCGAAAAATCGAAAAATTGTAAAAGTGAAATATTTTAAAAATTATATTTATTACATATTTAAAATCAAAACTAGAAAAATTGCAAATCAAAAACTGAAGACACGAGAAATGCAAAAATCGAGAAATTGAAAAATCTAAAATTGAAAAGCTGAAAAATGTAAAAAATAAAAACTCGAAGAGTTGAATATTGTAAAATTGAAAAAACAAAAAAAGCAAAAATTGATAAATTGAAATTGAGAAACCGAAAAATTTTAAAATCATGAAATTGAAAAAGTTAAGTATTTTAAAAATCATAATTATTACATATTCAAAATTAAAACTAGAAAAACTGCAAATCATAAATTGAGGCAAGGAAAAATTGAAAAATCATGAAACTGAAAAAATGAAAAATAAAAAAATCTAAAAGTTGAAAAATCGGTAAATTGGAAACCGACATATTAAAGAAATGAAAACTTGAAGAAAAAAAAATTATAAAATCGCAACACTGAAAAATCGAAAAATTGTAAAAATAAAGAAAATAACAAACCGAAACTAAAAAATTTGAAGAAATGAAAAACTAATGAATCGGAAAATTATAAATTGAAAACTCAAGAACATTCAAATCGAAAAATTTCAAACTCAAAAAATGAAAAATTCAAAATACCGTAATTTCGTTCCTATTCAAGGTGTAAGGTTGACAGCAGATTTACCTTCAGCGAGAAGGACCGCCAGATATATAAATAATATATAAAAATATACAGGGTGTCTCATTATGTAAACTAAAGTTAAAAAAGTCTGCATATATCAACAACTACGTTCTTTACTGTGAATTCTCGTCTTCTTTCAATATTTTTTTTTAATCAATGTATTCAATTAAGATCTTTTTGAAATAGACAGTAAACACTGATATATTAATTTTTCTAAGTCGAATATTCCTCTTAATGTCGATTTTTCCGTCATTTCAGGGCATCATCGAAACGGCTTTTTCCCCAAGTCCGGAGTATCAAACAAAATATAAACATAAAACTGTGGGAAGGATACAAGTGATGCAGGACTCGGAAGGCCGTATTATGTAGATGTCACAAATTTGCATCTGTTTGATGTATGGCCGGCTATAAATAGAAGAAACATTTTTCCACATTATATTCATACTTAAACCTTGGACTGAAACGGAATGGAAAAGTGGCATTGTTGATGCAGAGAAATTTTAAAGCTTTGTAGACACATCACAAAGAACAAAATAAAAAACAGGAACACGAAAAGTGCGTTTTTTTCCGCATGTAGGTACATAAAAGTTTCTCTTTAGAGACGAACAAAAACTCTAAATAAACAGTCACCTCGATTGGAGTCATTAACTCCGCGAAATATTAGTTTATATCTTGAAGGTAGTCGGTAAATAAACTATTACGGGTTTTCGGTTTACACTAGAAAGTGAACTTGAAATTAGTATTACAAAGTACACAAAATAGTGCATCTATGTTAATAGTCGTCTATAAAGTAGGAAATTTATTCTAAAATGTCTAAAATGTTGTTTAGGGAAAGAGTCAACTTTGTTTCAAAAAGCAGTTAAATATAACATCCGATTAAATTTATAACAATCTTTGGTCTATTAATAAGTGAAACATGAATGATTTAGACTTAGTTTTCGGTGAGATGCGTGCTACGTTGGTGCGTGATTGTGAGTAAGTGTGTGTTTTGCTCAGGTAACGCCAGGATTAATCGAGTTGGACTTTTTGAAGTGGTAAGTACTATTAAACAACGAATAAATAAATAAATAAATAAATAATCACAGTATTTGTTTTTCTAAAAAAATAACAATACTCACAATCAAGTTGTTCCTGGTCTAACAAAAAACTTGTCACTAACACTTCGCAAAAATTCTTCCATGTTGACCCAACTAGTTTATAATAATAATAATAAAATACACATATTTCTGATTTATTACCTACCGTGTTATTTTTAAAGAAATATTATGTTAAAAGTCAAAGCACGCTAAATAAACCATAAATTCTTAGTGCAAAGCTGTTTTTAACATTAATTTACAATCGGATTGATTTTGTGCGATAAATCCTCCGAGCTTGTGCTAGTACAAATATTGTCACCAATTTAATCAATGTAAATTACAAAAGAAATACCACCAAACAACAACAGCCAGTTTAATTCTATTTGTTCAATGATTTCGTGGATTAAACCACACAATACCAGCTTATCTCCTAATAAAGATAACACAATTCGCGTGAAGATCGCTATCAATCCGCCAGATGATGATAATCCGGTTTAATTTCGCTTGGTTCGATTTTTCAATCAAAACTTTATAATGATGAGACACAAATCTTACCACTTGTCGTTAAAAGTGCATTCTTTTTTTGATGGATTGACAGCTGATAACGTTCGAGAACGCAGCCATTGATTTTTGCATTTTATTGATTTACGTAATGCGGTTTTTTCCAAAGAATTCAAAAATAAATAAGAGCTTTCGAATTTCGTTCTGAATAGGTGCGGACAGTTTAAAAGTTGCGAACTCGTGATCGACTGATTAAAATAAGTCGGGGCTAAATTTGGACAGCGACCCCATAAAAGTTGTAAATCGCGTGCTGAACGGATCCGGAAGGGTTTTTTAATCAGTGGTTGGGACGAGTCAGAGAAAACCGAAAACCGAAGCTGGTTAATTAAAAGCGCTGAAATGCAGTTGGCAAATACGTGGAAATTAATAATAAAATATTGGGGACGAATGAGCTGGTGATAAAGATTTAGTGAAATAAATTTCTGCACAGGTTATCGTCTTGTTTTTCGTTCTCTGCGATTTACGATTCAGTAGGAAGGTGTCGAAGCGAGTGATTAATGAGATTTTTCAGCTTTTCGATTTCTTGATTTTTTTATTTTTCCATTTCTCAATTGTACGATTTTTAAATATTTCGATTTTTTATTTTTCAAATTTTGATGTTTCTAAAATTTTCAGTTTTCCGATTTCAGTACTATTTTTTTATGTTTCTATTTCTCGTCTTCCCAAATTTTCGATTTTTTTCAATTCTTCAGTTATATTTTTCAGGATTTTTGATTTTTCAGTTTCTCAATTTTTACTTTTTCCCTTTTTCAATTTTTCAAGTTACCGATTTTATGTTTCATTTTTTCGATTTTTTAATTATCATATTCTCGATTTCACAATTTTTGGTTTTTTTATTTCCTTAATTTTTTTGCTGTTTCTTTCGATTTGCAATTTTTTATTTATTCACTTTTCCAAATTTTCGGGCTTTGATTTTTCAATTTCATGATTTTCTAATTTTAAAATTTTTCAATTTGCAATTTTGGATTTAAAGTCTTCCGATTTTTCAATTTCTTTGATTTTCAATATTTTGATTTTACAATACATATTTCTTTTTTTTTATTTTTAACTTTTTCGAATTTTCAGTTTCTCAATTTTTAATCTTTCGATTTTTCAAATTTTCGTTTCTTCAAATTTCCAAGTTTGATTTTCATTTTTGACATTTTTTAAATTTTCATTATATGCTTTTTCGTTTTTCTATTTTTCAAGTCCTCGATTTTTATTTTACATTTTCTAGAATTTTTTAATTTTCATTTTCTCGATTTAATATCACAAATTTTTATTTTTTCAATTCCTTTATTTTTTGTTGTTTCTTTCGATTTTTCAAATTTTCGTTTCTTCAAATTTTCAAGTTTGATTTTCACTTTTGACATTTTTAAAATTTTCATTATATGCTTTTTCGTTTTCCTATTTTTGATTTTTCAATTTTAGAGTTTCTTGACTTCTTAATTTTGCTATTTTTCGATGTTACAATTTCTCATTTTTCGATTTTTCACATTCTCAGGCTTTAATTTTTCTCTTTTTCAATTTTTTGTTTCCTCAATTTTTCAAGTCCTCGATTTTTATTTTACATTTTCTAGAATTTTTTAATTTTCATTTTCTCGATTTTATATCACAAATTTTCATTTTTTCAATTCCTTTATTTTTTGTTGTTTCTTTCGATTTTTCAATTTTTCGTTTCTTCAATTTTTCGAATTTTCAGTTTCTCAATTTTGGGTTTCCGCAAATATTTCGTTTCCGCAATTTTTCAAGTTCCTGATTTTATGTTTCATTTTTTTAATTTTTTATTTTCATCTTCTTGATTTCACAATTTTTGTTTTTTATTCCCTTTATTTTTTGTTGTTTCTTTAGATTTGCAATTTTTTATTTGTTCAATTTTCCAGATTTTCGGGCTTCAATTTTTCAATTCCATGATTTTCCTGTTTTAAAATTTTTCAATTTGCAGCTTTTGGATTTGAAGTCTTCCGATTCTTCAATTTCTTTGATTTTCAATATTTTGAGTTTACAATACATATTTCTTTTTTTTATTTTTAATTTTTCGAATTTTAAGTTCCTCAATTTTTAATCTTTCGATTTTTCAAATTTTCGTTTCTTCAAATTTTCAAGTTTGATTTTCACTTTTGACATTTTTAAAATTTTCATTATATGCTTTTTCGTTTTCCTATTTTTGATTTTTCAATTTTAGAGTTTCTTGACTTCTTAATTTTGCTATTTTTCGATGTTACAATTTCTCATTTTTCGATTTTTCACATTCTCTGGCTTTAATTTTCTCTTTTTCAATTTTTTGTTTTCTCAATTTTTCAAGTCGTCAATTTTTATTTTAGATTTTATAGAATTTTTAATTTTCATTTTCTCGATTTAATATCACAAATTTTCACTTTTTCATTTCCTTTACTTTTTGTTTTTTCTTTTGATTTTTCAAATTTTCGAATTTTCAGTTTCTCAATTTTTAATCTTTCGATTTTTCAAATTTTCGTTTCTTCAAATTTTCAAGTTTGATTTTACTTTTGACATTTTTTAAATTTTCATTATATGCTTTTTCGTTTTTCTATTTTTGATTTTTCAATTTTAGAGTTTCTTGACTTCTAAATTTTGCAATTTTTCGATGTTACAGTTTCTCATTTTTCGATTTTTCACATTCTCAGGCTTTAATTTTCTCTTTTTCAATTTTTTGTTTCCTCAATTTTTCAAGTCGTCAATTTTTATTTTAGATTTTATAGAATTTTTAATTTTCATTTTCTCGATTTTATATCACAAATTTTCATTTTTTTATTTACTTTATTTTTTGTTGTTTCTTTCGATTTTTCAATTTTTCGAATTTTCAGTTTCTCAATTTTTAATCTTTCGATTTTTCAAATTTTCGTTTCTTCAAATTTTCAAGTTTGATTTTCACTTTTGACATTTTTTAAATTTTCATTATATGCTTTTTCGTTTCTCTATTCTTGATTTTTCAATTTTAGGGTTTCTTGACTTCTAAATTTTGCAATTTTTGGATGTTACAGTTTCTCATTTATCGATTTTTCACATGGTCAGGCTTTAATTTTTCTCTTTTTCAATTTTTTGTTTCCTCAATTTTTCAAGTCCTCGAAGAAAATGTACTCAGTTAGGTTTCGAAAATGTCAAAATTTCGGCGAAATTTGAAGAAGGGGGGCCCATTGGAAAATTTTCACTTTTAAAAAAGTCGTCTACAAATTCTGAAAAAATTCAGGGACGTAGATCTCGACGTGCTGATTCCAAAAATATAGCCTGTTGATGGTCGCGGAGCGACATTTTCGAAAAAATCGGTACGAAATGCCTAATTTATCGAATTATCAAAAATTTCGATTTTTCAACCGTCGATTCTGGAAAAACGGTTGCAGCTATCAAAAAATCGAGGCCGGAAGTGAGTTCTAGAGCTCGAAATCTACAAGAAAATGTACTCAGTTAGGTTTCGAAAATGACAAAATTTGGCTGAAATTTGAAGAAGGGGGGACCATTGGAAAATTTTCACTTTTGAAAAAGTCGTCTACAAATTCTGAAAAAATTCAGGGACGTAGATCTCGACGTGCTGATTCCAAAAATATAGCCTGTTGATGGTCGCGGAGCGACATTTACGAAAAAATCGGTACGAAATGCCTAAATTATAGCAATTTCAAAAATTTCGAAATTTCAACCGTCGATTCTGGAAAAACGGTTGCAGCTATCAAAAAATCGAGGCCGGAAGTGAGTTCTAGAGCTCGAAATCTACAAGAAAATGTACTCAGTTAGGTTTCGAAAATGACAAAATTTCGGCGAAATATGAAGAAGGGGGGACCATTGGAAAATTTTCACTTTTAAAAAATTCGTTTAAAAATTCTGAAAAAATTCAGGGACGTAGATCTCGTCGTGCTGATTCCAAAAATATAGCCTGTTGATGGTCGCGGAGCGACATTTACGAAAAAATCGGTACGAAATGCCTAATTTATAGCAAATTTCAAAAATTTCGATATTTCAACCGTCGATTCTGGAAAAATGGTTGCATCTATCAAAACATCGAGGCCGGAAGTGAGTTCTAGAGCTCGAAATCTATTAGAAAATGTGGTCAGTTAGGTTTCGAAAATGTCAAAATTTCGGCAAAATTTGAAGAAGGGGGGACCATTGGAAAATTTTCACTTTTAAAAAATTCGTTTAAAAATTCTGAAAAAATTCAGGGACGTAGATCTCGACGTGCTGATTCCAAAAATATAGCTTGTTGATGGTCGCGGAGTGAGATTTTTGAAAAAATCGGTACGAAATGGACAATTTATCGAATTTTCAAAAATTTCGATATTTCAACCGTCGATTCTGGAAAAACGGTTGCTGCTATCAAAGAATCGAGGCCGGAAGTGAGTTCTAGAGCTTGAAATCTACAAGAAAATGAACTCAGTTAGGTTTCGAAAATGTCAAAATTTCGGCGAAATTTGAAGAAGGGGGGACCACTGGAAAATTTTCACTTTTGAAAAAGTCGTCTAAAAATTCTGAAAAAATTCAGGGACGTAGAGCTCGTCGTGCTGATTCCAAAAATATAGCCTGTTGATGGTCGCGGAGCGACATTTACGAAAAAATCGGTACGAAATGCCTAATTTATAGCAATTTCAACAATTTCGATATTTCAACCGTCGATTCTGGAAAAACGGTTGCAGCTATCAAAAAATCGAGGCCGGAAGTGAGTT